AATAATAATAATAAAATTTTTATAAAAGTTAAATTTATCGGGGCAACATTGGTTAATAACATTATATGTTTCAGGTGTACGATTCTGTAATACATCATTTGTATAGTCCATTGTGTGCTCACTACCCAAAGTCAGATCTCTTTTGTCGCCATATGTTTGACCTCTTTTACCCTCTTCATCTTCCCCTCTTCCCTTCCCCTCTGATACCCACGTGCCAAAGAATGCCGACTGTTACCTTTTTCTTTTCTGTGGATTACACTACTGAATATGGACAGAAAATTAAATATTTTCTCCAATACCCTCCTCAGCCAGTTTGGAGGTGTGATTTTTAAAAAAATTAATTTCTAATTTCTCTCTTCCAGATGAATATGAAAACAGGAAAAGGGTGGGTGGATGTAGGAAATCCTGTGGTCGCCGATGAATTTTTTCAAGCTGCCATGGCTGTAAGTTGCCATTGATTTTTAGCTGTGGCAATTATTAGTAACAGCCGTGGTGATTTTCATTATTACATTGTATTGTGGTTTCATTTCCCAGGGTCTGGAGCAAATGTATGGCAGAATAATGCAGAAGAGCTCCACTGAGGCTCACCTGACTATGCAGAAGACTGCGGTGGAGAGGGACCTTTTCAAAGTGCTGTCTCACCAGGCAGAGTCAGTACGTATCACAGTCACCAGGGCCTCACAGTGAGGCATTTTGTTTATGTAAATGCAAAAATGATGAGACGTAACCTATTAGAAGAAGGTCAGGTGTCATCTGCCGTCTATAAGATTATATTTGACCTTTCTTTAAGTCTCTGTTTTGTGTCTGAAGGTAGCATTACCGATGGTGATTGATGTCTCTGTGAGGATGGATGAGGTTAGAAAGGCCGATATATAACTAAACATCGTTTTTATCAACTGCATGTAATGTCTGTCATTTGTATATGGCAGTAGCCTCTACTTGAGACACTTGTCTGTTTGTGACTCTCTTCTGTTCATAGTCTGCCTAAAATATTTGCCTGAAATGAACCTTCTCATTTGCAATCATTCTGGCTCGTTTGCTTATGTTTTCTAAAAGTCTGCTGCTATCAGTGTTCAAAGTTGTACTTCACCTCTGTTTGCCTTTTGAGTTTCTTCCTTTTCTCACTACAGTTAGATGTGCATTTTCAGTTGACAAATGTGATGAATTTGCACTCTGTAATTATGTAATTCTGTAAACGTCATCTAGTATAATTGTTATTTTTAATTGTTTATTGATATATAGTTCATATACTATAAAATTCATACATTTAAAATGTATAGTTCAATGGTTTTAGTATATTCACAGAATCGCACAATCTTTGCCTCAACCTAAGTTTCAAATATTTTCATTGCTCTGAAAAGAAACCCCCTACCCATGACCAGTCGCTCCCCTTTCCTCCTGAAGCCAATCCTACCAACCACTAATCTACTTTCTGTCTCTCTAGATTTACCTGTTCTGGACATTTCATATAAATGAAATCATATAATAAGTATTCTTTTGTGATTAGCTTCTTTTACTTAGCATGTTTTCAAGGTTAACCCATGTTATAGCATGTATCAGTACTTCATCTTTTTATTCCCAAGTAGTGTTCCACTCTGTGGATATACCACAAATTTTTTTAAATCCATTCATCCATTGGAGAATATTTGAGTTGTTTTCAGTTTGGGGCTGTTATGAAAAATTCTACTGTGAACATTCATGTACAGATTTTTGTGTGTACATATTTTTATTTCTCTTGGATATTTACCTAGGAGTAGAATTGCTGTATAACATGGTAACTCCATGTTTAACTTTTTGTGAAACTGCTGGACTGTTTTCCACAGTGGTTTGAACCATTTTAGACTTCACCAGCAGTGTATGAAGTCTCCAGTTTCTTCATATCTAAGAGTTTTATAGTTTATATTTAAATCTATGATCCGATTCAAGATAATTTTCGATTATGGCATGAGGTGGGGGTCTAACTTCATTCTTTTGCATGTGGCTATCCGGTTGTTCCAGCACCATTTGTTGAAAAGGCTATTCTTTCCTCATTGAATGAATGGTCTTGGCACCCTTGTCAAAAAACAATTCATCATAAATGTGGGAGTTTATTTCTGGACTCTTGATTCTATTCCATTGATCTGTTTGTTTGTCCTTATGCCAATACCACACTGTCTTGATTACAGTAGCTGTGTAGTGAGTTTTGGAAATCAGAAAGTGTGATTCCTCCAGCTTTGTTATTTTTCATGATTATTTTGACTATTCTGGGCCTCTTGCACTTCCATGTGAATTTTAGAATAAGCTTTTCAATTTATGCAAAGAAGGCAGCTGAAATTTTGATAGAGATAGCATTTAATCTATAGGTCAATTTGAGGAGTATTGTTATCTTAAAAATATTAAGTATTCTGACCTATAAATATGGGATGGCTTCCCATTTATTTAGGTTTTATTTAATTCCTTCTTATTTTTTAAACAATGACACTATCTTTCCATTTTTTGATGTCTTTTTCCATTTCTTTCAACAATGTCTTATAGTTTTTACTGTATAGGTCTTTTGCCTCCTTAGTTAAATTTATTCCTAGATATTTTATTCTTTTTGTTGAAATTATAAATGCGATTGTTTTCTTAATTTCTGATTTTTCATTGTTAGTGTATAGAAACAGATTTTCGTGTATTGATTTTTGTACCTTGCAACTTTATTGTTTCTGTTTATTTTTGATACCTTTTTGATGGAGTCTTCAGGGTTTTCTATATATAAAGTCACATCATCTGTAAATAGTGGCAGCTTTATAATTTTCTTTTTTTTTGCAGTTTGAATGCCTTTTATTTATTTATTTTTTGCCTGATTGCTCTGGATAGGGCTTCTGATACTATGATGAATAATAGTTACGAAAGATATTCTGTGCTCATGGATTGGAAGAATTAACATTGTTACAGTGTCCATATTACCTAAAGCAATCCCTAGAGTCAGTGCAATCCCTATCAAAATACTGGTGGCATTTTTCACAGAAACAGAACCAAAAAAATCCTAAAATTTGTATGGAACTACAAAAGACACCAAGTAGCCAAAACAATCTTGAGGAAAAAAGCACAAAGCTGGAAATAGCACATTCCCAGATTTCAAACTATACTGTACAACTATAATAACTGAAATAATATGGTATTGGCAGAAAAATAGACACATAGAGCTCCTGAGATATTCTTAGAGATCTTTATAGCCCTTCTCTTTCTCTAGTCATTTACCATTTAACTGGTTAGATAACTTTATTCACTTATTTTTTTTATTATTCAACAGATAATGAGTATCTTCTGTGAACAGAGTACTATGCTAGGCTTTGTTGGGGGGAATGCAAATAATCACATATCTTCAAGGAGATTATAGTTTGGTTGGTGAGATAAAGAATGCATATACAACACAGAAAGAATTAAGTACTATAAGAATGGTACAGATAAATTATCTACATGCAGTGTTCAGTGCTATGTAAGTGCGGTTATAAGGTATGGTCATTTTCTTCAAGAAAATTATAAATTAGTTTGGAAGTTAGGCTATAAATTCATTTAAAAAATGGAAAAAGGATAATATAAGGGTCAAATGAGTGGCATAGATCAGGTGTGGCACAGACTGTCTAAAGTGGTCATGTGGTCTTCATAACGATGGTTAAGAATTTACTTTTCCTCAATCTCTATACACACCTGCAAGGTGGTGGATAGTCTTCTGTTTGCCCTTGTGGCACAGATAATCCACCTGTAATATTTTAGCATTGTAGAAGTAGTTGTAGATCTTGGGGTTTCTCCTAATTCCCCGTTTTCGTTGTCTATTGGCAGTGCCTCTTTCTGCTCTCTATATCCTCTGTCGATGCAAGGGTCATCTGTTTTGCTTCTGTCCCTTCCCCCTTTACTAGGGTAAAACCACTTGTAGAAGCCGGGAGGGTCACATGAGGGTTGGAGCCATGAACTTATGCGTAAAGACTATGCCGGAGGGTATCCTGGCGATGCTAACCGTGTTGAAATCCCACTTTCTCTGTAATACCAAGGGCTCTGGTCCACTATCTCTCCTACTAGTTAAAAAAGCAGTAACATAAAAATTAAACTTTACATTATCAGCATCTAGCATGGTATCTGACACATCATAGATAACACGTAAGTATTGGTTGTACAAATGAATCTGCTCTCCTGTGATCTCTCTCTGACCTCTTTGTCCCCCCAAAAAGAGTGATAGTCATATATAAGATATGAAAGATTGAGAGACATTGGTTTAGACAAGTACTGTATGAGTACAGGAAAAGGCGAGGGAGATCATTGTGGGCTGGGTTGGGAGGGAAAGGCACACAAATGTGGGAGACATTACTACACCTAACTTCAAT